ACACACCCCACGGAGCTGCAGAGGCGGAGCAGTTGTGACTCCAGCTCTGTCAGGGGCCAGGCTTGCAAACCTGCCTGATGCAGGGGCGCAGGCCGTCCACCATGAGGTAAGTGGACGAACCCAGAGTCCATCTCCCCTTGTTCCATGAATGCAGAATTCCACACCCCAGAGACCAACCTCTGCTTTATCGGTTGGGACTACAGTGGTCCATATTAGGCAACGTGGTACTTGACCTGCCTCGACCAGCGCAGCCTCAGTGGGTGACTTCAGAGGCCAGGAATGTCAGATAGGCTTATCCAGGCCGACAGAGAGCTGCCGTCTTCTACTCCCAGCTTCACCCCTTCCACCCCAACCCCCTCTCGCCCTACCTCTCTGCCTCCTGCTTTGCTAAAAGGCGACTCAGGAGCTACGGGGCAAGTGGGGCCATGAGAACTGGCCAGAGGCCCAGCTCCACACTCGGCAGGTGCTGCAGAGGCACAGCTGGGCCAGGGTCATGCTCAGGAGTAGAAGGTGTGGACTGACCCCACAAAAGACAGACATGCTCTTCTAGAGAGACAGCACCAGAGTCTTCATTATGTCCAGGAGTCATTTCTGGGGCACTGGTCCCTAAAGATCACCTGTGATCACTGAGCAATACTGTGGGAGGTGGTAGCAAGAGCCCTGGGCTGCACAGGTGGGAGCGTCCACTCCAGGAAGGGCTAGGGCTCCTTGCTGATGGTCTCCAGGTCTTCGCTTTGACTCGGACACCTCTCCCTCCCAGCCTGGCATGCCCCTCACCCATGCATTCTGCTCTCTGGTGCCCTCTCTACACCTGCACCCCTGCTTTCCCATTGACACAAGCAATACCCTCCCTAAACTAGACCTCCTTGCTGGTGTTCCTTCAGCTCTGCAAGGCAAAATCCTACTGGTCTGTCAAGCCCCACATCACTCCTCCTCTTCCAGGAAGCATTCCCAGACTACCCCAGTCACGGTTAGTCACTTGTTTTTCTATACTCCCGCATGCCAGTGTGCACACCTCTTACAGCACGTACATCATTAATAATAATAATGGCCAGATATTTGCTGATCACTTGTTAGGTGGTAGGCAACATCCTGAGCACTTTACATAGATGACCTGATTGAATCCTTACCATAACTATAAAGCAGAAGGACCATTATTGTCTTCAGAGAATGCCACAGAGATATTAAGTAACCTGCCTGAGGCCACAGAGCTGTTAATTGGCTGTTAGATACTTAGGGCCTAACACATGTTAGCTACTTAGTGTTGAATAATTATTCATCTCGGGAATTATTAAATCAGTGAATAAATATGGAAATAAGTGCATTTCTGTTTCCATTACAGAAAGCTCATGTGGGAAGTGCTCCTTATGCGTCTTATAAACCATCCTTCCTGTCTGATCAGGAGCTAGACACACCTGCTGCTGGATGAATGAACAAAAGATCCTAAGAGCAAACCAGGCAAGAAAGTCCAAACCCCAGTGGTGCCGCTCGCTGGCTCCAGCTAAGGAGCGTTAGCTTCCTGGGACCCCCTTTTGTCACCTGTCAAATGCAGAGATTGCACATTCTCCTAAGTTCCTCCTAGCACTAAAGGTTCCTATGAAAAAATGAAGAAACCGAGATTTTTGTGACATGGCGATCCTACACCCCATGATGGATCCCAGGTTCTACTGGGTTGCTTTCTCAGGTAACAGTTCCCCGTTGGAGGTGACAGTTGACTCAAATGTGACTCAAAGGCAGAGCCAATATCTGTTCTAAACGAGTGAATCTGGCTTGATCCTTGGGTCCAACCCATTCTTATCGAGTCACACCCAAAAAACGTAAATGTGGGTTGTGAACAAGACAGTGTCTGTTTATGTGGGAAGACAGAAGCCAGGGAAAGAATTATTAAGCGCCTGCTGAAACTCTCATAAATAAAAACCAATAATGAACAATGATCTCCAGCTGCATTATGCAACTGCCACCTGCATCATTGCTCCAGAGGCCTCCTAAGTCTTTCTCTTGTCTCCTGGCCCCTCCGTCGGAGCCTTCCTGCTCCGAATAGATGTTGGTCCCCAGTCTCCCACCACCACTGTTAGCACAGGCATGTGGGTGTGAATGCCAGGGCCTGATAAATGCTTGTGAACTGCTAAAGCACAGATGCACTCCAGATGGTGGAGAGGTGTCCACATGGGTGTGGAGGTAGGGGTCTGGCTGGATTGCATTTATTTCCACAAGACCTGTGGCTAACCAGATGCTTGGCTTTATGCCCCACACCTGCCACACCTGCAATATCTGGCTTAGCATTTATGATCAGCCACTGTATGCTAATGCCCAACATTTCTTGTCTGGCTAATACTAAGCGTCCACCACTACACCAGAGGAAACCTAAATGTGGTGTATAAACCAGGCAGTGTCTGTTCATGTGAAGAGACACAGGATCCCTCTTCTAGGGTTTTGCCTCACAAAAAGGCAGATAAGCACTGGCCTTGGAGAGCTGAGCATTAATCACCCTCACATGGATCCAATATGGCCGGATTGGACCACGACAGCAGTCACTATAGAGGACGTCTGTGTCTGTTCTTCACTCCCACATTGTTTGGGACCTGTACCCCCACATCCTCAGGGACCTGCTCCTCCCTCACCTTAATCATGATTCATGAAAGTTCTGCCAATCACTGTGGCCAGTTCCCCTGGCTTTCACCATTATAAAACCAGAGGTGGGCCAATCAAAATCCTCCCTGAGATTTTTTCAACTCTGAGCTGGAAGGTAAAGATTCCAGTCTTTTTGGATCATGAACCTACAAAATATATGAAGCAGAAGCTACCAATGAGGAGGAAAATCTGTCTACCAGGGAGGAGGAAAGAAACCAACCCAGAGCACAATGTTGAGACACAGATGGAATGAGGGAGGATGGAAATGACTGTGTCTGGGCCATCCTGTCCCATGAGTTAATGATTTACCGGTGTTGTCTGCTTAGATTGAGCTGGGCTTCTGAAGTGTGCAGCTCAAGTGACCTCACACAGTCACAATCCACCCTCGAGGTGCATTTTCAAATGTATCCCCCACTCTCAGCACCCAGGGTTTTCATGAGACAGACTATCACACATTTGAAATGTCTTTGTTCTTCCTCAAAAGAAAGGCATAAAAATCCCTAGGCAAGAACCACCCTTACTCCACATCACAAACTCAAAGACTTTTTCTTTCCCTTTGTATCTCAGGTGCCAGCCACAAGAAGTGAGGACTCTGCCACTTCAAGCCCTCGAAGCCTATAAAACGGGGGCTGGCCAGACAAACCAGGCAACACCCGGCTGGTGATTTTTGAAGAGGACATCTTCATGGTGGCCAGCCTTCCACTCATCCCCCTGCTGGCTGACGCCCTGGGGGGACCCACCCTCAGATCTCCAAGGCAGTCCCACAAAGTGCTGGGTGTGTGGGGCGATGATATTTCCTAATAAAACAGGATCCTGAAAACCCCCGAGACTGCACCATGCAGCTGGGCCATTCTTTCTATGGGAGATGTTTAATTTATTTACTGGTTTGTTCAATTTTATCTTGGAGGAGGACTATATGCAAAACTTTTTTTTTTTTTAAGAAAGCTACTTTATACAATGACTGAGAAGGGTAACGCTGAATGCTACAAGTCCCCCCACCCCTTTAACCCTGAAGAGCTGCACCTGAATAGGGAACCATGAAGTTACAACTAGAGAGGGGACCCTGGGTGGAAGTTCAGCCAGGACACTGGTCCCACCTCTCCTCCCCTTCTATTTCCCTACCACTGCCATGTCTCTGCCTGAGGCTGGAGCATGGCGGGTACTGCCTGGACGGCTAATGTGCCCTGGGCTGTCTGTTTGGTGCCGCACCCTGATGGAATGCTCTTCCTATGCCCTGGACGGTCAGTGCATCCCAGGCTCAGGGGAGCTTGACAGCTGTCTCCCCAGAGCAATGGAAAGCAGCCGTATCCCACGAGGGACTCAACAGCTCCTCCGTCACCAAAACAAAAACACAACAGTGCTGATTGCCATGGAGAGTTCAATCCCCTTGTCCTGGGATTGGCACTGACTGGAATTCCAAGGGCTCTGACTGAGCTACCTCCTGAGAAGTCTAAATACAGCACATCCAATCTCAACCTAAACACAAGGCTTGGATTCATGCCCAGGGCCGAGAGCCCCCCAGGGCCAGCTGGCAAGTCTTGACTTTGAGCTGCCCGTTGGGTGGTGGGCATTTTGGAGATGCCAGAGATGTGATTTGTGGTCAGCCCTGCTTTCACGGATGCAGCCTAAAGCCAAATGATAAAGGATGCAAATATTTGTGGAGGATTAACTATGAGTGCAATCCTGAGCAGAGACATGCATACTAGAAAAGGAGGTAGAGAACTGAGAGGTGTCCGGAGGGAGGGAAAGAAGAGGGCTGAAAAGGAGGTAGGGACCACAGACCGACTTCTTAGCCAACTCATTAAAAACCAGGGGATCTTTCTAAGGGTTTGCTCCCGGGGGAACACATCTCTTTAATTAAGCCTCTGTGTGGAATTTAGGGCTTAAGCCCTGGAATCAAACAGACCCAAGTTGCCTTCTAGTTGTGTGACCTGTATAATTGGCTTCTCCATTTCCACCTCTCTAAAATGGCCCACAGAACTCCTGCAGGTGTTCAGTGTGATCATGGATATAAAGTGTCTAGCCCGCAGGAGTTGCTGGATCAATAGTGGGTATCAGAGGTAGCTGTGGGTCATGGTAACTGTGGAAGTAGGATAATAGCAAAGATTTGCTTAGCTCCCTCACCTGGCCTTTGGTTTCCTCTCCTTTGGAAAGGAGACCAGAAGGGTGGCTGAGGCCACCAGGATAATGTGGAAACTCCCAGCCAGGACAAGCTAAGCACACAGACAAAGGAAACCTTCAGCCGAGCATGACGATACAACATTCATGCCCACATCTGTTCAGAGCTTCAAAATAGCAGAAGGGCAGCTGCCTCTTAACTCCCAAATGCCAACCCACCTGTCCCAGGTCTCCCTGGCTGTCCCCCTTACCTTGGTGTTCATACACGACTTCCCCCGCTTGTACTCTTTGTGGGAGCCTCGCTTGTCCAATTTGTACCACAGGGCTTTGGCCTTCCAGGTGGTCACCTTGGACTTGAGCTTGGAGTAGAAGTTTCTGTGGTCCAGAGGGTCCAGGTCCAAGTGTTGGGTGAGGATGCTGAAGGCCTGCAGGGTCCCTTTGCATGTGGAAGCCTGGACAAAGTTCTCAAAAACCTGCCCGGCCTGGCTCTGCTTCTCGTCCTCGTTCTCCCCCATGGTTCAGGAGCCACGTGGAGCAGGGTGCGGACAGGACAGAGGGGATCACCATGAAACACCAGGAGAAGCGTCACACCTGCAAAGGTGGGTGGAGACAGAGGTGAGGTGCATGGGCAGTGAGGGGAGAGTGGAGGATGGGCACCAATAGGAAGTGATGAAATTCCTTTAAGATACTAAAACACCCATCTTCATTCATTATACTTAGTGCTAAATCTAGACCATCTCCGGAAAGTGTACATCATACCCCCTAACCCGGCAAGGATGCCTTACTGCCAGTCTTTCTCCCCAGCACCCACTCACTCCTCTCCCTGGCTGAAAAAAAAAAAAAACACACAGGTTGCGCAAAGTTATATATACCCTGACTCATGTCAACGGTACCTGGTCGATCTTGCTACAAGCCAGATGGCTCTGGAAATAGTGACTGGTGAAGGAGAAAGACAGAAAAAATGCACTAGATTTAATACCACTGAAAACCTACTGTTCTTGGTGCAGCGACTTGATTGGCTAAGATGAATGCAGCCTAGCCCCATGACATCAGTGAACGGGAAAAACCCCAGAGCACACACCTCTCCAGGCCTCATGATAGTCCTACCTGAGCTCAGACAGAAAACTTTAAAATCTTTCTTCATTAGTTACCAGAGGGCAGGTGTTTTCCCCCAGACAAGTTACCCATTGCAATTTCTCAAAACTTCCTTCTGTTTCTGGAATCTGCTGGAAGCACACCATCTACCTTAGTCAGAAACACGGGAGACAGAGACACGTGGGCCTCTTCTTTCAAATGAACAAAAGGAGTCTGTGCTCTGTAAGTCCAGGCTGAGCTGGTTGGAACAAGTGCTCAGGCTGATGGAAGGGAAAAATGCAGCGGATGTTCATTCACTTCACAAAAATAGCTCGCCAAGGTTTTGGCATGGATGCTTCTCTCTGCACTACTCCACCCTCAGGCATGCCTTAGGAAAGTCACTGAAGTTTCAAAGGAACAAAAATAAAGTAGAGCTGATTTTCCAAAATACTAGCTATTTTTCTGGAATCCAAAGCTAGTGCTAGGAGGCCAGTGTGGAGAGGCAGGGCCAAGGCTGGACAGTGGTCAACAGGTCCTGCCTTTTGTGGGGTCTGTAAACAAAAGGACTCACGAGAACTGAGCTCTCCAATAGAGATTTTCACCCCCAAGAACATTTCTGTGGGTACATTTGGATCATAGGTTGGCTTATAATTCTAAGAGTGAAGCAAAGTGTTCTCACCTTCCCTGATCTCTGACTCATTCATTCAGCAGCTGCTGGAGGCGCAGCAGGTGTGCGCCGGGCATCATGCTAGGGGATGGGGATGGAGAGATAAGCAATGCAGGCTCGGGCCTGGCCTGGCAAGAAGACAGGACCATACAGTTGATGACAAGACTACAGACAAGTGCTGTGGAATAAGGACAGAGTACTGCGGAGCCGGAGCAGCAGGTGTCTAGCAGAGCTCAAGGAGTCGAAAGGGGCTCAAGAAGCTCCAGTCCTATGAATGGGAGGATTTCACTACAAGACTCGGGAGTGACATTCCAGGCAAAGGAGAGACCCTACAGGGCACGAATCTGGAAAGAGTCGTAAAGTTGCAAAATGACAGTAAGTTCAAGGGTTCAGCAGTTCAGAGAAGGTGAGTGTGAGGGCATGTCCAGGACAGGTCAAGGCAGTGCCCAGGAGCACCAACCCGGCCCTCCCTTCCAGCCTCCCCTGGGATCTTCCAGTGTGCCTGGCCCTGTGCTTGGCTGAAGGCAGACCAGCACACGCTCCTGGCTGGCTGGCACACCTCAACCAGGCTCCAGGCCCCACCTGGGAGCCCTGGCCCATGCCACTCAACAAGTTCCACAGGCTGGAAGGGCTGGCTCTGCGGTGCTCTGCCTGGCCCAGATGAGACCTGGATTCCTTTGCGGATGCTGCCCCAGCTCCTTTAATGTCCACTGAGCTCCCTTGGCACTACTCACATAAACACTGCTACCTTTGGTGTCTTGACTTTCCCCCACGTGCCACACTTGCCACCCAGAAAGCATAAACGGAAGTAGGACTCGTTTGCTTTTCTGGGCATATTCACATTCTCAGGCTCTATCTATCTTTGGAACCACTTCTGTGCCAGCAGGAACAAAGGACGCAGTAGCTGGCTGACAACTTCAAGACCGCCTGCATTCAACTGCTCTCCTGCGGTCCTTTCAAGGATGGCCAGGTGGCTCTGGGGCCTCAGGAGCCTGAGTCCAGAGCTTGGCTTGCCCCTTTGCTGCCCACACAGCCTCACACAAGCCACTGAGACTTTCAGCCTCAGTTTCTTCTTGTACAACAGATGGATGATGATCTCCACCTCGATGGTTGCTGTGAAGAGGGAGAAAGAAATGCAGGTGTCGGCACAGCCTGGCCCTGGGAGAGGCTCAGCAGATGTGCTCATGCCTGCTGCATCCATCACGCAGGCAGATTTGTATCTGGGGGATGCAACAGTTTGAAAAAATAAGTTTTGAAAATCAAAACGCTCCCAGTTGCCAGCTCCTCCTTGTCTAAAAGCATGCGCCATTCGGCGGTATCAAGGCAGATGGGACTCCCAGACAATAATTTACAAACTGGAAGAACTCGTCTCCTCCCTCCAAAGAAAAATGCACGACTTAATCTTAGGGCTCCGGTGGAGAAAGAGCCAAAGGTGGTGCTGAGGGCTCCGGGTGGGCGTGGGAGCTCCGGAACCCGCTCTTATCTGGGGCGAGATAAGGGGAAGTGTATGGAGATGGGCCGACAGCAGGAGATAAACGCAGCTTGGACATGTACCCCACAGCCCGTACCAGGCTCAGACCTGCCTCCCTCGATTTCAAGAGTCAAATCTCAACCTTTAAAATCAGCTTGCCAGTTTAAGGCAGAGACTTTAAAGATGATGCTAACATTCACAATGGGTGACTTTCCCCATGGGAAAACAGAACATTTTGAGTCAGGCAAACCTGGGTAGGAATCTGGTCTCAAGTACATACTAGCTTTGTGACCCTAGGTGAGTTCTCTCGCCTGCCTTAGCCTCAGTTGTCTCATGTGTAAAATGGGAACAATACTATTTGCTTTCTAGGGTGGTAAGGAATAAAGGAGATTAGGTATACGATGTATTTAGCTCCTGGCTGCTATGTGACAACTTAGCACTCATTACTCTTCAAGTGGCCCAAACACCCTCAACCCAAAAGGAAGGGGAAAAGAGAACATGATTTTTGATAACTTAGCTTAGTTACCTGTGTTCAAACTTGCTTCCTCGCCCTGTAGCTCCAGGCAAGTCATTGAACTGAGTTTCAAGTTCCTCATATGTCAAGTGGGGAACCTCACTCAGGGTGGTCTTGGTGAGGAGCTGAAGACACACAGGGTGCAGGGTGGTGCCACTAAGGAACTGGAAAGGGTCGACCTAGCACTCAGGAGGAGCAGGGAATCTGAGCATCAAGTTTTCAGAGAACCAGGGTGTCCTGCCTCTAGTAGGTACCTTTCCCCTGTCCCCCCAGAAGAAGCAGGTCAAGAGTGCATTAGCTCAGAGGACTCTGGGTGGCTAGCTCTGGGTGGACAAGTCTTGTTTATCACCACCCAGCTGCTGCCTTTTCGGAGTTTGACATGTCTTAGAAATAGAAGCAATTATTTCATCCAGAAGGATGAAAGGTTCTGCATTTTCTGGGAAGAAACAAGATGTGATGCTGTAGTTTCCAAGAATAGGTTTGAAGCAGTTTGCGTTTTGCCAACTGGAGTCCCTTAGTTGTGGTTTTTCTGTTCCCCTGCCTCTGTGACATCATGAGTCACAAAGCTATTCCCCACCCCCACCTCCAGCCACTACAAATTAAGATTCATGACCTCAAACTACAGGAGACAGTACTGGTGATGGGCTCAGCCTGCAGCATCTGGAGACAAGTTCAGGGTTTTTGCAGAGTCCCTGAGCCCCTCTCAAAATGAGTGACAGGTCTCCATACCCCAGTTTTGCCTGTGCACTCACATTTAGGATCATACTTTCTGCCCACCCCCCTGCCAAGTCATCTGCCAAACAACAGCAAACAGTGTGGACAAACCTTGGGAAAATTATAGAGTTCTATAAAAACTCAAGGAGGTCTGGAGAGGGACAGACACTAGGCAGAACTTTCCCATGAGGAAAAAGCTCAATCCTCAATCCCTTGAGGTACCCAGACAAGATCTGTTTCAAGGTCAATGCAATCTAAGAGCAAAAACCTCTTGACATTTACACTGCCACGCTGCCCTAATCAAACCTGCCATCTCCCGGGTCTGCCTCACCAAATACACCATGGGAAGGCTCAGCAATGGAGGGGGTGTCCATCCTGCACTTGCAGCAGGTGGGAGCTGGGGACTGAAGATCTGGCTCTGAGCCTACATTAGCCCAACCCCTGAGAGGAGGCAGGAGCCAGTCGGGGACTTGGCGATGGCAAATGTCTCCTGCACACACTGTCACTCTGCAGACCCCTGAGTCTGATTCACAGGTGGGGCCTGAAGACCTCATCTTTCCTTCTGGCTTTCCATCTCTCACTAGGAAGCCAACTTGAACCAACAGGAGCAACTGCAGGGTTGGGAAGAGTCTGAAAGGGCCACCTTGGCCTGCCTGTGGTCTCCTTCCGGCCTTCCCTCCACCACCTCCACAGTGGGGAATGCCACTCCTAGGCCACCTGCTCTGTCGGGAAGACAGTCTTAGGAAGTCTTCTTAGTCATCCTCCAGAGAGAAGAGTTCTGTCTCCAAAGGTCTCTACTTCCTAGTCTCAGGCCTGAGATCTCCCACCAGAAGTTGAAGCCCTTTCCATACAGGCTAAACCCGTGTGTGCTGGAGCCCCTCTAGAAAGGCCAAAAAGAAGGCCAACAAGGTCCCAGACTGTAACAAGGGCCCAGACAACCCCCCTGCCGCCTGTCACCCAGTGCCCATGGCAGGAGCTCTGAAGAGACCACAAGTGCACTGCAAGCCCTGGCCTTCTATGCCTGCTCCCTCTCTATGACCCCAGTTTATTTTGCTCCTGTCCTCCCAGTTCCGGCCTCCCATACTCTTCAACAGTGAGTGAACTCCACTGGCCCGGCTTCAAGGGACCTCACACATCCCCACTTCTCTCCT